GTTTAGGGGTTAGGGTTCAGGGGTGTAGGGGGTTTAGGGTTTAGAGTTTAGGGCATAGAGGTTTAGGGTAGTTAGGGTTTAAGGCCTCGGGGGTTTAGGGTTTAGAGTCTAGGGGTTTAGGTAGTTAGGGTTTAAGGCCTCGGGGGTTTAGGGTTTAGAGTTTAGGGGTATAGGGGTTTAGGGTAGTTAGGGTTTAAGGCCTCGGGGGTTTAAGGTTTAGAGTTTAGGGTAGTTAGGGTTTAAGGCCTCGGGGGTTTAGGGTTTTTTTGAGTTTAGGGGTTTAGGGTAGTTAGGGTTTAAGGCCTCGGGGGTTTAGGGTTTAGAGTTTAGGGGGTTTAGGGTAGTTAGGGTTTAAAGCGTCGGGGGTTTTGGGTTTAGGGTATAGGGGTTTAGGGTAGTTAGGGCTTAAGGCTTCGGGGGTTTAGGGTTTAGGGTATAGGGGTTTAGGGTAGTTAGGGTTTGAGGCTTCGGGGGTTTAGGGTTTAGGGTATAGGGGTCTAGGGTTTAGGGTTTAAGGCCTCGGGGGTTTAGGGTTTAGAGTGTAGGGGTTTAGGGTAGTTAGGGTTTAAGGCTTCGGGGGTTTAGGGTTTAGGGTATAGGGGTTTAGGGTTAAAGGCTTCGGGGGTTTAGGGTTTAGCGTTTAGGGGTTTAGGGTTTAGGGGTTTAGGGTGCAGGCTTCGGGGTTTAGGGTTTAAGGGTTCGGGGTTTAGGGTGTAGGGTTCAGGGGTGTGTTTAGGTTGTAGGGTTCAGGGGTTTAGGGTCTAAGTGGTTTCGGGGTTCAGGTTGAGGGTTTAGGGGCTTAGGGGTTAGGGTTCATCCGGATCGAGCAGTCTGAAGTTGAGCTTCAACATTCACTAACCATACTTCCCGTTTATCCGAGAGCTGACACGATGCTAAACCCTACCACCTAAACGCTTAAACTCTATGATACAACCCCAGAATAACCTTAAACCCTCTAATACTACCTTAAACCCTCAACCCTTGGCCCTGAACCCTACACCCTGAACTCCGGGCCCCGGCCTAAACCCTGACCCCCGAGGCCCTGAACCCTAAACCCCAAGGGGTTTAGGGTTTAGAAATCTAGGGTGTAGGGTTTAGGGTTGAGGGTTTAGGGTTTGGGGTTTTGGGTTTAGGCCTCCTTTGACCTTTTGTAGCTCTGAGATCGCCGCCTTAAACGACGCCACCATCTCCCGACTCCTGCCCAGCAGCTGTGGGCCGCGTGAAGGCGTATGAGTAGTACTCTCAGTTGGGGTCCCTTTTAGGGCACTTTTTATAAGGGTGCCGTACTACTTGGGGGATCTACAAAGGACCCCAATTCAGGGAACTAACCCAAAAACCTTCAGGGTTTATGGGTTTAGGGCTTAGGGTACTTAAAGGATCATGGGACTTAGCAAGTAGGGTCTATACTTATGACTTATAACCACAATTAGGGGACTTATAACCTTACTTACTAAGTCCCATGATCCTCCAAGTAGGGTTTGGGGTTTAGAGTTTCTTTCCGGAGCCCTGCGGACTAAGAGAACCTCATACGACGACCCTGTTCAAGCCATATTATATACACCCCGGTTTAAGGTTTAGGGTTTAGGGTTTAGGGTTTTGGTAGGGTTTAGGGTTTAGGGTTTAGGCCCCTGAAGCCTAAACCCCAAACTCGTAATCCCTAAACCCCTCAACGCTAAACCCTAAAGCCGTATAAAGTGGTGTGATGTTGCCTCACCACTGCAGCTCGCAACTCGCCCATTTGCTCGTACTCCTGGGAAAGATTCCCGGGTCGAGAGGTGTGCATGACGGGCTCTTTAGGGTTTATGGTTTAGGGCTAAGGGTTTAAGAGTTTTTGAAGGGTACCATAGGGGCTTGCGGCTTATGCTACCATGTACCCACATTGCACATACCGCACTGAGGTCACAACCTTTTCCAGGCCCCATTTACAGTAGAGACTAAAAGGATACATGACATGTTCCCTGTAGGGGTATACGGGTCAGGATTTTAATACGGTTCAGCAAGGGTCCCAGACCCTAAACCGCTAAACCCTAAATGCTAAAACCCTAAACCCTAAACCCCTAAACCCCTAAACCCTAAACCCCTAAACCCTGAACCCTCAAACTCCGAAACCCTCAAACCCCGAAGCCCTTAACCCCGAAACCCTTAAACCATAAACCCTCAAACCCGAAACCCTAAACCACTAAACCCTCGTACCCCGAAACCCTTAAACCCCTAAACCCTCAAACCGCGAAACCCTTAAACCCTAAACCTCGAAACCCTTAAAGCCTAAACCCCTAAACCCTAAACCCCTTAAGGTCGCAGCGCTTTTTCGCTTTCCGGGCTAAGGGCCTAACCAAAAACCAGACTGAGATCCCCACAAGTTTAGGGTTTAGGGTGTATACGTTTAGGGCTTAGCGGTTTAGTGTTTAGGGGTTTAGGGTAGTTAGAGTTTAGGGTTTAGGGGTTTTTGGGGTTTAGGGTCTATGGGTTTAGGGCTTAGGGGTTTAGGGTTTAGGGTTTTAGCATTTAGGGTGTAGGGTGTAGGGTTTTGGGTATTTTTAGGGTTTAGGCTTTTCCAAAGGGTCTTATGTAGTGCTATCGGAGATACTTTCCTAAATCATAGTAGTACTCCTTATATAGAAACCCTGTATTCTACTATATTTGGGTTTCGGTGCAGGGTCCAGGGCTTATATTTTTTTTCGGGGGTTAGGGGCCCCATAATAATGTTTCAGGGTTCCGGGTTTAGGTTTTAGGGTTCAGGGTCTTACGTTTGTTTGTTTTAAACTAGGGTTCAGGGTTAGGGAAACGGGGTTTACAGCTGAAGATTTAGAGTTCAGAGGCTTTAGGGTTTAGTAGGGTTTAGGGTTTAGGGCTTAGGGTTGGGGGTTGAGGCCTCGTAAGGGAGTTCAAGGAACACTATTAGGGTTTAGGATTTGGGGTTTAGGGTACCGTTAGCACACCTCCCTAAAAGCAAGAGCGTCGAACCTAAAACCCAAAACATAACACAGTTTAGGGTTTAGGGCTTATGTGATACGCTAATACCTGGCCTACATGCAGCCCTACTGAACAACGAGGCCGTGATCTTGGTTCTGAAGAACTATGCCACCCTACCCAAACCCTGAAAATGTACGGCCGGCACGAAGTCTCATATAACTACGCAGTGTGAAGGGTTGCTGACCGGTTAATCTCAAGCTCCCAACCCTTGATCCCACTCCCCCAAGTTATCTGCAAGCTTCTGAGAAAGAGGCGAGTTCAGGGTTTACGACAAACCGGGGTAAAGGCCTAAAGCCGGAACGCTGAGCTTGTAATGGCAAGGCATTATGCGGCTTTGCAAGAAAAAATGTAGGCAAAGGTATACTTACTTCAACTGCTACATCTACTTACTGGTTTACCAACCTCATCCCAAAAACCCTGAACCCTACGCTGCCTTGGACCCCAGCATCAAGTTCCCCAAGACTTTGCAAGCACTCCTTCAGCCAGCTGTGAAACATCCGCAAGTGTCGGTTAGCTGCCTGGTCCCGAGTCCAGAGACATGATGTTTAGGGTTTAGGGTTTCTGGGGCTCCAAATAGCCCCAAGTAGATACGGCGTACGGGGTTTAAGCCCCGAAGTACCAGTTGGTACCGTTTGTATCCTTGGAAACTTGGAGCTGTAGGATTTGAGGGTCATACATGGGTTTGACCTGTTTACAAGGGCAGCATGGCTTTGTGTAGACTTCCCCAAAGGCTCCATGTACCTTTATAGTAGATACTTAAGCCCTAAAGTACCTATATAGGAACCCTTTTAAGGCTTAAGTAGCTACTATAAAGGCACATGGAGCCTTTGGGTTCTTTAGGCCGTAAAAGGGATTGTCGGTGCCTTGAGGGTACAGGGTTCGAAGCTCCATCCCCTGACACCGCAACCTTTTTCTGCACGATATCCCGGGCATGGGCAAACCCCAAACCTCACTGTAGCAAAGGTGGCTGTGATAAGGAAAATAAAGATCATAATGAAAGCATGATGATGGTGATACCATTCTTTTTGCTGCGGCAGCAGCAGCAGCAGCAGCAGCAGCAGAAGGTAGCAAATCCAAGTAGTAGTCGTAGTAGTAGCAGCAGCGGTGGCAGCAGCAGTAGTAGTAGTAGTAGGAGGAGTAATAATAGTAGAGTAGTAGTAGTAGTAGTAGTAGTAGTAGTAGTAGTAGCAGTAGCAGTAGCAGCAGCAGCAGGAGGAGTAGTAGTAGTAGTCGTCGTCGTCGTAGTAGTCGTAGTAGTAGTAGTAGTAGTAGTAGTAGTAGTGGTGGTAGTAGTAGTAGGTTCACCACCAACAACGATGAACTCGACAGTTGCAGAGCATTAGCAGGTAAACGTGCGAGTGCTGGTGCTAAGGCGGCACCTAAACAATAGGGATGACATGGCTACAAGAAACTACCTGACAAGCAACACTCAATGAGCTCTACATCAACCTTATCACCAGGTCATGATGGTACAAATTTGCAGGAATCGGAATAGTCCAGGTTTTCTATGACGGCATGAGCATCAAGTCCTGAAAGGAGGCTCTTGGCCCAAACACAAATACGCCTACAACACCTTCAACTTCAACCCTCAACACCGAAAAACGAACACAAGACGACCAAGCTGTCGGAAAAAGAGCCGCCTTGGGGCAGAGCTTCTTGAGGAAGGCGGACAAGGAAATCTTCACCTTCGCTCATGACGTGTTTAGGGCCTGAACCCCCTCCCTCCCAAAGGTCTCGTTTGAAGGGTCTTAGGTTGGTTTAGGGTTTAGGGTTTAGGGTTTAGGGTTTAGGGTTTAGGGTTTAGGGTTTAGGGTTTAGGGTTTAGGGTTTAGGGCAGATTTTGGGGCTAAAGCTTGAAGGTCTAGGTTTCTTTGACTTTGGCTTTGAGGTTTAGGGTTTAGGGTTTAGGGTTTAGGGTTTAGGGTTTAAGGCTGAGGTTTGGGGTTAGGGCTTTGGGTTCATGCCCTGACTCCGAAAACCCTAAACCCGAAACCCCTAAACCCTAAACCCTAAAGCCTAACCGACTCGTCTTCCACCGAGTCACCCCGTTATGGCGCGCAACATCCATCTCGTCGAGGGCTCGGTGGAGTTTGCCAATCCAGAACTTCCTGAGCCCAGGGTGGAGGGGTGTATGGTTTTTAGGGTTTTTCTGTGTGTTTTTTTTTTATGTTTTTTTTTTTGTTGAATTTTTCTTGTTTGGATGGCTTTTAGGGCTTAGGGTTTAGGGTTTTTCGGGCTCAGGGTGTGTAGGGTTCAGACTCTGGGAGTACAGGTTTAAAACTGAGTTAGTTCAGGAGTCTGATTTGCCCTAGACGGGTTGGTAATGCTAAATCCTATAGAACCTAAACCCTGCCTTAGCTCCATATAGTAACCCTACCTTTAACCTACCTAAAGGACTTAACTTATACAAAGAAATCAACAGAAGGAACCCCAAGAAGGTAGGTTTCATAAAGCTCAGGTACACCCCGACACCTTGCATGGGATCTGTGCAGAAGTTTCAGGGTTGATTTGTTTCATGAGCGACCATCTCTATGTCCAAATGAAGCACCTGTACTATACGGGCCTTGTGACGTTTGTGCTTTTTTCTTTTTTTTAACGGCTTTCTAAGAGTTACTACAAGGGTTACTATAGTGGTTGCTGTAAGGGCGTAGTATAGGGAGTAATACATGCATGCATGCATACATGCACAATCATGCATACTTACATGTAAATTAATATATGTATACTATATACTACTTATACATACAGACAACAAAACCCGACACCCTTCGCATAATGGCTGCAGAAAGGGCACGGATCGATGGCGACACCAGCGATCCGCTCCGCATCTGCATGGGAGATGTCGAAGGTTCCTTTGGAAGCGCCTTGGCTCCGGGCGCTTCAGGGCTTAGGGTTTAGGGGTTTACTGTTCGGGGTTTAGGGCGTATAGTATAGGTGTTTAGGGGATTAGGGTTCTGGCTTTATTACCAGTATAAAGCCAGAACCCTAAACCCTTAAACCCTGAACCCCCATTCGGGTTTAGGGATGTCGAAAACTCCCTTTGGAGGCGCCTTGGCTTGAGGGGCCTTGATCTTCAAAAGGGGAGATCCTCTGGGAGTTCTAGTATAGGGGCCTTAATAATCAGAATAGGATTTTGGGGTATATTCTACTGTTAATATAATAAGGAAACCCCCAAAATACGGTTTGATAATATAAGTTCTGCAGTACCCATAATAAGGAAATACCATAATTCCCATAGCTTAGGTTTAGGGTCCTTTAGGTGATGCAGGATTCATATCATCAGCAGCAGCATCGGTAATGATTTAGGCCCTTATACTCTAGGGTTTTGGGATTTGGGCTTCGGGGCTCTGGGGATCGATTTTGAGTTGCTAGGCAAATGTACCTTAACATTCCAAAACCTACTGTTTTGTAGGGTCCCTATACATTCCATAGTAGAGTTGATCCTAAGAACCTACAAAAAAGTCGGTTATGGTAGCTTGAGGTAGGGTTTAGTTTACTGTAGAGTCAAAAGACGACCTCGGGTATGACAAACGAAATGACTAAGCAGAACCCCAAAGCGCCTGGACAGAACCAAACCAAAGCAAATCGGCTTGATCTCTACATCCTTTCGGTGCTCGGGACTTGGATCCGGGGGCGTCGGAAAGGCAAGCCGAGAATTTGATGTAGGGTTTAGGGTGGTGGAATGTGCGAACGTGCTGCTGCATATAGCTCAGGCCAATAACAAAGAGTCTAATATGTTGGTACGTGGACCCTTGTATCCTAAATCCTAGGACGTTTTGGCACCCGTAGAAATTATCGAACCAATAATTCAATGAATCCCCAAGCCCTAAGCCCTGTTAGTGCCGCTAAAAAACCCATAAATGAAACCTCAAAGGAACATGTAAACCCTGACTATGGGGCGCTTAAAATAACCGGGGATTCGGAAAGAGGTTCACGGTTTACCGTAAGGATCCAAAGGACCCGATAACAACGCAGTTTGGTCACGGATAATAGATATCCAGGTTTATGTTTGGGAAAGTATGTGATAATTCGCCTCAACCCCCGGCCGAAACGGTCAGAGGTTCCTATTTGGACTTCCTGTAGACCCCACCTCTAATCCCCTCACCAGCGACCCCCACCCTCCAAAAGGGTCATCGTGGCGGGGGGATTCCCGCAAGCTTGAAAACATTAGATGGAGGGATGCTTCAGGCGAGGCAGGTTGGGGTGGTTGGGGCGGTACATGCTGACACAAGAGCGCGATAAGTGGGGGATGACGCCCAAGATCCCACCGGAGCACAGAACCTGGTTTCCTCAAAGGTACACTCTGCATCCTCATACTTAGCAAGTCCATGATGGCAACTGCTGAACGCAAGGCACAATCACCCGTGGCCCTGAATGTGATGTCCATGTTGCACCCTGTGCTTGCAGCAAACTGCTCAAATGGCGCTTTGAAGCCAACAAAGGCTTCTCGAGGAATCCATGGTCTGGACTTGTGGTGCCCTGCAAAGTTTGTTGTCCGGAAAGGCACACAATGGCGATCATGATGGACCAATGCAAAAGGAACTGGGAGCTGCCCCTTCAGTTGAAGCTCCTGGAGCCTGAAGCACGGGATTTGCAAATTGTGCACAGCCATGACTGCAGCTGAGGAAGTGTGCCCAAAATGCACCACATGCTCTTGCCATTTGTCAGTTTCGGATTTAAGCACCATTTGCAAGGTGTCCTGCCAGGCCACACAGCTGAGCCCTCAGTGGCACTCCTGTTCAACGGCAAGGCAAACTGGTCATCTTCAACCAGCTGGCCCGGGAGCTGGCCAGTTGGATCACTGGCAGCTTCTTCCTGGGACAAGAATTTAGCCAGGTGATCCAGGAAAGCTGTCTTCATTTTTCTGATGGTGGGTGTAATCCTGGCTTCTTTGGCGGAAACCTCTGGCTCTTGGCTCTGTGCTTGCAGAAGGGCAAAGCAAACCTCCTGCATCACAACTCTGTTTGTCCAGTCTTGCCCAGCCCCTTCCAAGATAACCCTGCAGGCTATGCACTTGGAAAGGTGACAGCCGCTGATGTTAACTTTGTTGCCAGGACCCCTTGAAGACAACCCACTCCTTCAAGTCCCTGGTCCCTGTGGTCTGGAAAACTCCATCAGGATGTTTTCTTGAAGGGTAGCAGGGGCTTCCTGGTCCACTTCATGCCTGGCTGGTGCAGTTTTGGGTTTCATCAACTTCAAGGTCCTCTTTTGGCTCCTATTCCTCAGCCAGTTCCTCTGCAGCATTCTGGCGGGCATGTGCTATGCCGCTGGTGGCATATACCTGGCTGGGTGGTCTTGGCAGGAGACACCATGTTTGAGCAGCCTTGCCAAATGGCCAAACACAAGCTTAACGTTGGTCTTGAGGAAGCTCCATGATTGCACCTTGGAAGCAAACCTTTGCATCTGGCCCTGGCTAGCAGTAAAAGGCCCACCCACCGCGCGCGCACTGTATACACACCCTAAATCCTAAACTCTAATAGAGTTTTGGGGTTTAGGGGCTCGAGATTGGCATCTAGGGTTTGGGGTTTCCAGGGGGAGTTTCTGAATCTACCATGGTGTACTGTAGGGGCCTTCATGATTGGAATAGCGGTTTGGGGGGGGGTCCTTATTACCTATTCTACTTTTTCAGGTCCCTACATTACGATTTGGATCTCACTTGGCTTCGTGGCAATCAGGGTTTAGGATTCAGGGGTTTAGTTTAGGGATTTAGGGTTTAGGGTTCCGGGTTTAGTTTGGGGGTTTCGGCTTTAGGATGTTGGCCTCCTTTCAGCCTTTGTGTAAACCTCCAGCTCAGCACCTCTGTCTCTGCCCAGAACACAGGGAAACACGACCAGACTACCATTGTGCTTGACTCCATACTTCAAAGACGGAAGTCTTGACCATGACCCCCAAACCCTAAACCCTAGACCTCCACACCCCTAAACCCTATAAACCCTATATATATA